AGGCCGGCCGTCATTTATTGCGACAGTCACTCGGGGGCTAAGGAACTGAAGGACAAGCTCTTTGTACTTGGCGAGGCTCAGCGAGAATGCACACCTGAAACTCGCTTTGTATGAAGAGAACTGGTGCACAGTCAAAGCAACCTGTGACCTCCCGCAGAATTCCGTTGGCCGTCGCCAGCACGTAGCCGGCCCTTCCAGCAAAAAGGGCGTCGGTCACGTTTTCCCCAGACAACGATCCGCCCCAGCTTCAGCTGCGGGGGGGTTTAGGCGGAGGCTGGGCGTTCGACTGGGAGGCTGGGCGACGGTGGCGCCAGGAGAGATCCTCCTGGAGCCGATTCCTTTTGCTCAGCAGCCTGATCTGTGGACAGCCTCTGGAAAGCTGAGCCGCGTGCAGCTGCGGCGGCGCTATGCCGGACGCGAGGAGGTGGTGGAAGGGGGCCACGAGGTGGCCAGAGCGAAGGAAGGAGCCCCGCTGGTGTGTGCAGGTGTGGTGGTGCGGGGTGGGCCAGCGACCAGTACTTGTAGCATCAGATCATGTGCGCAAGAAGGACCAACGCATTCACCGAACTTGAAGAAGACGAAGACGCGGACGCGCAGAAGAAGAGGAAGAAGAAGAAGAAGAAGAGGAAGGGAAAGGGGAAGAGGAAGAGATCATGATGCCAGTACCAAGCCCACAAAAACTCACGATGCTCACGTCAGTATCCAGTTTCTCCCTCCCTCTCTCTCCCCACCGTGCCACGACCTCCCACCGACCTCCCACACCGCCCGGGCAGGCCTGCGCTCGCTCTTGGCCGAGCTCCGGCCGAACCGCGCTTGGGCGCCGAGCGAGCTGATTGGCTCGCTGGGCTTGGACTCCTTAGGCGGGTCGGAGGGGCGGACGTCTGAGAAGGGGGGAGGAGTGTGGGGGGGGGGGGTCAGAGGTTTCAAAAAGGGCTCCTCTTTTTGCTGATCACTGTTGCCCTTGAATGACAACCGTCCATCCGGTACCACCCGCTTCGGGCTTGCGGACGACCGGACTGGTGTGGGAATTCACCTTCGCAGGCCCAGGAGTTACAACAGGGTGGTTTTGAGTCGCTCAGTGAGTGGATGTGACAGGGGCACCCCGACTTCCTCCAAGCCCGGCACGCCGACATGGAACTGCTGGAACTTCCATCATGTTGGCTCTTTGATTTCTGTGCAGCTGTTGGGGGAAGTCCTTAGTCTTCGACCCTTTTTCGCTCGTCAGGCGTTGCGCGCTTGTGTGCCAGCATCTTTCGACACTTCAAGGTGGACCTGTCTCCACAGGCGCTCTTCTCCATGGAGCCTTCATGGCACGCGGGCGGAAAGGATCGGTGGTGCTCCTCCTTCGCTTTTCCCGGTGGAGTGAGTGTCGGCCTTCAGGGACATCGGAGCAAGGTTTGCTCAGAGAAAGGCCCTCAAGAACATCAGAGCAAGGCTTGGTGTCCCTGGAAGGTTCTCACAGTTTGCTGTCAGTTTCCCTGCTGTTTGGAAGTGGCACTGAAGACATGTACTTCTCCTTCTCCAGCATCAAGCCAAGCCCCCCACACTCTCCTTCCAACTATTTGAAAGGCCGATGTCTCTTGCAGGACAAGAACTCCAAACCCACACCCTCCTGGCTGGCTCCTCCGTCCCAGCCGAGGAGACACTGGGGGACTTGGAGCGCGTGGTGCTGGCGCCCGCAGCGCTCCGCGAGGTCTGCGCGCGCCGCAGCGGGGGCCGCGGCGTGGGGCGCTGGGCCGCGGACGTGCGAGAGGCCCTGGAGGCCCTGCGCGAGGAGAGGGCGTACGAGACGCAGGAGACACGGTGCGGGAGGCGCGCTGACCAGGGGAGGGAATGGATGTTTGAGAGGTTCCCTTTTTTTGGGGGGGGAGAAGGCGCAGTGGAAGGGGAATGGTGGATATTTTTGGAGGAACACTTGGGAACAGCCCGTGGGGTTTCACCAGACCCCTCAGAAGCAACCGCCTCCACCCTATGATCCACTCACTTTAGAGTCTAGAGTGTCTAGTCTCAAGGCTAGTGGTCAGTACGGAGGCCTGGGGGCCTCCCATCGACCTGGAACACCCCGTCGTCACTGGATAATTTTGATTTTGGCTGTCTATGGGAGGAGGAGTGGTGAATGAACACTCCACCACTCCCCAACGCCACGCCTACTGCGGCGAGGCCCACGGCCACGTCCTCGCGCCGTCCCCGCGCCGTGCTGGTGACGGGCGCCACGGGCTTCCTCGGAGCCTTCGTGGCCTTCGAGCTGTGCCGGCGCCACGGCAGAACGGTGCTGTGCCTCGTGCGGGGTGGCGATGAAGAAGAACGACTGCTGCAGTGCCTGAAGCGGCTTGGCATTGTGACGCAGAGGCTTTGCAAGTGGTATTAGTGCCACACGGGTCTTGGTCAGGTGCTTTTTGTAGCCTTTGCGCGCCTTCATGTTTGGGGGACTGCTATGGCCCAAGTGCTTGGCTCCGCCAGCCCCCGCCTCGAGGTTCTACCGCTTGTGGCACCGCCCCTCGCTGCCCCCGAACCTGCGCGTGCTGCCCTCGCGCGGCGTCGAAGACCCACGGCTGGGCCTCGGTCACGGGGCGCTGCACGAGGCGCTGCGCGGCTCTCGCCTGGAGGCGATCGTGCACTGTGCCGCGTGGGTCTCGGGTGTGCATCCCTATGAGGCCTTGATGGCCGCCAATGTGAGAGGCGCGGACGTGGAGTTCGGGTGAAGGGGTGGGCGTGAAAGGAAGGGGTGAAGGGGACGGGTTGGGGAGGGAGGGAGAATGATGGAGATGGAGAGAGTGAACATGCAAGGGATTTTTGGTCCTTGATGCGTTGAGGGATAGGTTTGGGGAGTTCCATGACACAAGGGTGTCGAAGTCCACTCAATTCTAGTGGAGCCTATGGCTCCTGTGTGGGCCTTTGTTCTTTCAGGTCTTTTGACCTTTGACGTGTAGAGGAAAAGGGGCCTTTTCGGGGCCAAGCCTATCCACTTCCATGAGTTTTTGAGGGAGTGTATAGAATAGAAGTCGAGAAGTCGTGCGCTCCTCCACTCCGGCCCTCTCCTTGCATGACCCTGCGAACTCTGCAGGAACTCAGCATGCGATCTCCTTGGCACTGCAGATGGATGCCAAGCTGCTGCACGTCTCCACCCTGGGCTTTCTTCCTGAAAGCCACCCGGAGGAACCGCTGCGCCCCGCAGACGAATCCTCCACGGGCGACGCTGTGGAGCTGCTGGGTCGCTCGGGCTATGCTCAGTCGAAGTGGGTGGCGGAGCAGCTGGTCTGGGAGGCCACGCGCATGTGGCCGAAGCTGCAAGCCAAGGTGGTGAGGCCTGGGACGGTCTGTGGCCATCCAGAGACGGGCGCCAGCAATCCCAAGGTGGGACATGGAGTCGGTATGGCATGGTGTGGGTATGGGTGAGGGATGGAGATGTAGCCGAGGACGCACACATGACAAGACTGCCGTAACTTGCAGATCAATCGCAGGTCAATCGCAGGATGCTGGCATCAGAAGGCGACAGTGCGCCACAGATCCACAAAGATCGATAAAGCCGAGAATGGAACTTTCGCATGCAGATTCTTTTTGCATCTTGCGAGCTGTTTGGACTTGGGACAATTCCATCATCCTGTTCAATCAGGGCAGGGGGTTTTGATTTTCCAACTTTTTGTTTTAACACACACATACACACATGGGTAACATGACATGGGATGCAGCAACCAACGAGCTTGTGCTGCTAAGCTGCTAGGATGCCTTGAGTCTCCTAATTCTGGGCTTGCTGCAGCTGGGTGAAGTGGCTCTTGCTGCTGAGAGCCCCCTACCTCCTGGCTTCAATCTGGTCCCCATCCATCATGTCGCCTCAGCGATGGCTGAGCCTCGGAACTCAGAACTGGCCAGTTTTAAGTTTTTCATGACCTTCTCTAAAGAGATTCACCTCTCTGGAAGCAATCTGAAGCACAAACATGTTCCAAGAGCTTCTTGCAGGTGTGAGCCTGTCACATGGCCGGTAGAGGCCCCTGGCCCCTGGCATGCACCGTTCCCTCTCCCAGGAGCTGCTGGATCGTTGGCCCGATGAGTGCGCCGTGCTGCACCTTTGCGCGGCACCCGAAGCGGTCCTGGCGATGCCACGGGTCGTGGAATGGCTCCGTGCCGCGGGGCATCCGCTGCGCGAGGTGTCCGTGGAGGCCTTCTGCGCTCGCGTGCAGCAGGTAGGGGCGGGGAAGGGGATGGAAGGGTTGAGGAAGAGGCTTTGGAGGAGGATTGCGGGGGGGGAAGCTGAGTCAGTCAAGCAAAAAAAATCAAAACTCTGGTCGGGTTGAGAAAGAGATCGCTTTTTCCCACACGCATGGCGCGAGTGGAGGAGTTTTTGTCCCGGACCCAGGTCGATGAGCGCCATCCACTCTTCAAGTTCCGTGCCTCCTTGAGCCGACCCGCGGTGCGCTCCAAGTCCTCGTCCTCGTCCCTCTCGGCGCACACGCGTGGCCAAGTGGATCGCTGCGGGACGTTGCCGAGCGCGCAGCTCAATGAGGCAGGATTCCGGGCCTGCGTGGCGTTCCTGCTGCAGGCCACGGGCTTGTTCGCCCCAGACACGGCGGGTCTGAGCAGCTCGCTGGCGGAGCGGAGGATTGGACACAAAGAGGAACGCACGAGGATCGGGTCCACGATGGGGTGCGGGAAGACTTCTTCTTGAATGGGGCCGAACACTCCATACAGTGACTGATCGGAGCGAATGGGCCAAGGGGGTGGCTGGTAGGGACCACATCTATCTGATCATCACTCCCGGAGATGACCCGGTCACTGCGTGGGCGGCAAAGATATACCATCTCCTTTTACTCCCATCCGCTTGTGAGTGAGTTGATCGAACCTCTAGGTCCTCCAGGTATCGATTTTCGACCAGAGACCTTGTCATTTTGACCATCAGAAACGCACCACTCCCCCAGGGCCAAGGAGAAATGAAACAGATATGGAAGATATACTGCGTAGGAGCGGATCGTCCACAGGGGGGTTTGGATGTTGTAGTGACGGAGGCCGAAGTGGTGCCCGTGATGCGCGAAGCAGCGCTGGGGTTGGCCTTTCTTCACAGCCTGGGCATCGCTGCTCAGTTGAAATGGGGGTTTGGGCATGTGAGCAGAGAGGGGACCGGGGGTTGGGTAGCCTTAACCTGCAGTCATAGTCCCAACCCGCAGATGACGGGGAAAGATGGCACCAGCCTGAGCAGAACGCACCCGCGTGTGGCCAACGAGTCTCTTCTCCGTTGTAACCGGTGACGTCGCCCACGGACGGGTCGGACAGCGGACGGGCGCGGACGCTTCAGGTTCACTACGACTTGAAGCCAGAGGTGCCCGGCGCTGGGACGACCGGACCACCCGGGGAATGCGAGAGTGGAACGGGTGAACCACTGCTGCCGCGGGGCTGTTTTGTTGCCTCTCAACATCCACGTGGATGAGCACCACGAAGATAGGGAGTCCTTGTGAGTGTGCGCTCTAGTCAGGAATACCCTCCTTGCTGGGAGTCAATTTGTGTGTTCCTCACAATTATGGACGTGGATAGAATGGCCTCTTGGAACACTGTCTTTCTTCCAAACCATTTTTGGATGGAGGCTGTTCCGTTCTCCACCAAGCTTCACCACTGGAACTGGAACTTTCATGAACTTTCACTATCACTAAATCACTCGAAAAATAGATCTCAGCGGCCACTTGTGCGGAGCCACAATTCCCTCTTCCTCTTACTCTTGAATCTATATGTGTATATAAGTGTATATATACAGGCATAGAGTTACACACACATATCTATATATATCTCTCTCTCTATACATAAGAATAAGATTAACTTTACAAACATGCATGTAGATTTATACAGAACATGTCATAACAATATACATTTATAACCGTTCTTTTAAAATCCATTTGAACCCACAGTGGGTGACCTTCATAGATCCGTAGACGTCGATATCCGCTTGCAGAACATCCTCTTCAACGAGGGCCATGTTCGGCTCTGTGACTTCGGCTCAGCCAGTGAGCGGCAGCCGGGGTGCTGAGACGGGGGGCGGCTAACATTCGGTCGTGTTCCATGACTTCATGGCAAACATCGTTCAACTCGGTCCAACCTAGAGAGGTTGAACAGCCCTTTGTCGCCCATCCCATATGTACCACAACAGCGTCCTAAAAATGGTCTCTCAACCTCTCATGGAAGAAGTTGGGAACTTTTTGGGGGACTTACTTTGCCACGTCCAAGATGGGGTTCTTGGCCGCCACTTTATCTCGGATATGGACTGGGGGGGCATGGTCAGCATGCGGCAACGCGGTTTCTCTACGGTGCGTCCCATTACCAGCAACAGTCCGTCAAAAGGTTACATAACTTTCTTTTGTGTTCAATTGGCTGCAAGTGAACACTCATCATCCACTGGGCCCTGGCTCTATCCCATTTTTCCGGATTTGCAGCCACGTGGCTGCCACCGGACTCGTTCCACCCCCGGCGCCTTCGCGGGGCTCCCGGGTGCCGCCGAGGTGGCCCGACTTCGGCCCCGACGCCTCCCGGCGCGCGGCGCGCGAGGTCCGGTGGGTCGATGCGTGGTCTCCCGCGGGCTCGGAGCGCCTCAAAGGTCCTACACTCCCGAAAACTAACATAGACCCGGGTCCAATGGCCCCCTGGAAGAGTGTTTTCCTCTACCAACCGGTTTTCAGGGTCCAGGGTGTACTAGTGTTATTCGTTGGAGGTGGCTGTGGTGCCACCGTGAAGATGCACACCATCGACGACGGGTCAACAATAGCAGGGATCAACAGGATCAACGGCTCCAGGTTCTGACCCACAGCCAAATGCAGTCTCCTGTCAGCCTAGCTAGACTCAGCAAAACTTTGCATGGAATCTTCAAGCTCGCCACACCTGCTCCTGGGAATTGGCATCCTCTTGGACTTCTTCTTCTTCTGCTTCTTTCTCAGCACGCAGCATGAGTCGGCCTGTCCTTGCACAGGCAGGATCCAGGCGCCCGGCTGGCCGCCGTTTGGTGCCAAAAATCGATTGGTTTTCCAGTGAAAATTCCATGCCGTAGAAAGCACGGCATGGAAGCCAGTTTTCCAGAAAAAGAGGACACAACACATATTGTAGAAGTCCAAAGGCAATATGTTGACCGACTGCAGTGAAGTAAAGATAGAAGGGCCATTCCTTTTCGGGTCACCTGAAGACAATATTTTTTAATCCTGGACTTGCAGGGATCATGCATAGATTCAAGTTTTTGGATGCTTTTCTTTACAGCTATACCAGCACCTTCATGTCGGGGTTAGCAATGGAAGCCCCTACACCCACCATTAAGGGACCTCCAGGTCCAGGGCACCCCTTAAGAAGGTCCAGGTATATGTTTTGATGAGCTATTGGTTTTCTACCTGACTGCAGGTGGAGCTCTTCTTCTCCAACCGTACGACTCCCATGTTTCGGCCCCCGGAGCTGGCGGCCGGGGGTCCTGAAAGCGGAGTTGGGGGGGGTCCATGAGCCGGTCAGCGGCTCAAAGAACACCTGGTGAAGGGTAGCCAAGAGCCCAGTGGTCGCCGAGTTTCCGCCTTGTTTTGCTTCCACGCGATTCCACCAAGGCACCAGTTAGGACGACTGTTGGAAGCTTCTTCCAAGACAACCGATGTGAGGGGGCCAGTGGTTTATAGAAGGATTTGCATGCAGGAGCTAGGCGGGTCTGTTAGGATCTCCTTGGAATCGTTTGCCTGGAACTTGGCAGCTTTAAACCCATGAAACACATGCCGCATTCCTTGAGTTCCTTGGAGTTGGAAGTCTGACATCACCAAAGGTGTATGGTCTTTCAGTGGTTTGTGGCTTCCGTTTCAGTGCTTTTCACCAAGCCTTGGGGGGGAAAAAAAGCGCCGCCCAGGACCCGGACCTCGTTCGGCTGCCCGTGACCGCCGCAGCGGATCTCTTCATGTTGGGGCTCTGCCTCTACCAGGCGCGGCGCGGACTCCGCTCCACGGAAGGGCCCGCTGTCGTCACGGGAGACCGCTGACTGGTAGTGTGGACTTCTGACTAACAAGAGGTCCACTGTTGTACCCAAAGAAGCTTGGAGTTGGACACTTTGTCCTTGGAAAGCTATTGTTTTCAAAGGTTTTCTATTGATCAGGGAATCACGGGGGGGGTACGGGTCTTTGACGCGCACGGCTCTGCTTGTGCTCTGCGCTTGCTGTGGCGACCTCCATGACCTCCATGGGCCCAGATGCTCTTCGCGGTGCACGCCTTCCCTCTGGAGGGCCGACTGGCCAACATCCACGTGAGGCACCCGGGGCGACGACGGGGGCGTAGAGGTAGCCTAGGAGTGTCAGGTTTGAAGATTGAGCATGTATCAAGATTGAGCATGTATTTTTGTTACGGTATTTTCGCATCGCCTCACATGCTGCTCGGCCAAATGTGCCAGAAAACAAGCTCATACCAAGTTTCTAAAGAAAAACTTCAAACACTTTGCGTTTCTTTTCTCCAAATCCAGTTTAGGACGATGCCAAATCCAAGGGAAAGACGATGATGTATCTGTATATTGATGTTTTGGTCGCTGATCTAGCTATGGTGGCATGTTAATCCTCTCTCCATCCGTTCTTTTGTCCGGATGCCTTCCTCCGGGGCCTCGGGCCTCGGCGGGTGGAGGTACGTGCTGCCGGAGGGGGCGGAGACGTGCTACTCCCCGGCCCTGCTGAGCACGCTGGCGGCGTCCGGGCGGCCCGGGTGGCGATTCGATGGGTGGCGAAGCACGGGCGATTCGGTCGAGGAGCCCAGTGTGAGAGACCAACCAGGACTTGCTGGGCTGGTGCGATGTATGGGAAGAGCAGCTCCTCACAGGTCCGCCTTCAAGAGCTTCTCAACCCTTAAACAGGTTATATAGACTTATACCAGCACCCGACTTCACAGGTCACCAATTGAGACCTGTTAGGCCCAACAACCTTCCAGAGGAGACCTGTTGGAGGGTGCTGGTATAAGTACTTTTACGTTGTTTTTCGCACATTGGAGCTTTGGAATGCACTTTTTTGCCAAACCCCATGTCGGTGTCTTCGGCTTGATCCTGCAAAGGCTGCTGAGCCGGGACCCCCTTCAGAGGCCCCGTGGTGAGGCGCGGGGCTTCCCGCGGTGAAACCTGCTGTGCGGTGCTGTGACGAAGCTTTTGGATGTTTTTTGGCGGACTATCATGATTTTCATCGGCTTCGTTGTTTTCTTCTTTGGGACGATTTCCGTGTTTCCCTCCCTTTTTTGAGTGGTTTTTCTCCTCGAGATTCCGAACACCGCTTCGAGGTGATTCTGGGCATTGGCCCCAGAAGCTTTCGTCACCTTTCCTTTGTTCCCTTCCACCTGGCGTTGTTCCGTGGCGCGTCCGCTCGGTCCCAGGAGCTCTCGGTGTTCGGTGCCCCAGCTCGGTGCCCCGTGCACCGTCGTCCGACCTGGCTCGACTGCCGTCCTTGGGCGGGAAAGCACCTCCTTCGCTGGGGGGGAGGAGGGATCGACATGTGGTCCGATCCGAAGGCCTGCCCCGCAGCATTCTGATGTGCTCAAGCCACAGTCACCGCAGACGTGACGAAACAGCCATCGCCCAATAAATCTGAAGAGGCAGGCCATGTTGGCCCAGGGGTATTGGGGGCCATGGAAGTCACTGGCTCGAAGTCTTAGGCAACCAATCTTGCAAAAGCAACTGAACCCCAGCACTTTTCCTCGGATTTGGCCTGGCGGAGTGCGGAGTGGCTCATGACTGTTGATGTGGCTGGGCAGGTGAAGAGCGCTGGGATGGCATGAGGGGAGTGGACCTTTGACAGGGTTGCAGTAGCAACTTCCAGAAGCCCGTCTAACAGGAGCCTGGGAGTGGCTGATCAGCAACTCCAGTCGGTGTCCAAGGCCTTTTCCAAGTCGGGGTTGTTCTGTCCGCCTCGTTGCCGGCAAGGGTGGTAAACAGATTGTGTTCATGAGCAGGTGTGATCCCGTGTCAGTTGAGTTTTGAGACAGAAGTTGGGGGCTTTCAATGGCTTGATGTTGCGGACGGCCATAGTATTGTCAGCCAGTCCGAGATAGGCGAATTGGCGAATCGGTCCTCTTCTTGATCTCCTACCAGCGTCGAAGAGGACAATCTTTTGGAGCTCAATTTCCCTTCCAAATGAATGAGTGAGAGTGAATCCTCGAGATTTTTTCCGGGTCGGGTTTTGATATGGTGTGTGTTGAAGGTTGCTGGAGGGGTTGGGGGATAAGCGGGGTCTGAAATGGCATTGGTTTGGCTTTGGCTTGGTTGAAAGCTAGACAGGGTGGGCAGGGCTTGGGTGTGGTTCGGTCTTGGATTGGTTCTGGCTACTGGTCAGGTAAGCAGCACAGGCCCATCAGCACAGGTACAACTTAAACCTGGCCACTTGCAGCAGCACGGACGTTTTCCTCCTTCCATGCTTCCTGCCTTCCGTGCTTCCTTGCTTCTTTTCCTTCCTCCCTCCCCTTCCTCCCTTACTTCCTTCCTTGCTTCCTTCCTTCCGTCCTTCCTTCTGCCGTGCACTTATATAATAGCAGAATATAGCAGATAGACCCCAAACAACATATCGAAAAAAGACAGAACGTACCGAGAAAAATAGAAAAATACGAGCTCCAATGGTCCTCCCCCCGCCCCTCCCCCAGGTCTCCGTGCCGGAGCAGTGTGCCGAGTTCACCCGGATCTGCCAGCAGCTTGGCCACCACAGGTCCCGCGCGGATGCACCTGCGGTGACGCACCGTGGACGGCCCGTATATGACATCAGGAAGACTGTGACTGGACTTGTAGAAGCTGATCCCGACCATTTGGACGGTTGTGAATGTTAAGGGTCAACAGTTCAGTCTGGTCCAGAAAACGCATGGGGGGAGTGGAGATTACCTCTTTGCCCAGAAAACAACAGGTGGAGGCCCCTTTGGGGGCACAAGGTTTTCCAGCATCAGGGCCACGCCGGCCACGCAGGCCACCCAGTCCCTATGGTCAATGTCAGTTTTGCTGGAACACTTGTGGGGCTTGGCTTCTCTGCATGTCCAGTGCTGCAACCTCATAAGCTGCCGCTCCTTCCTGCGGCGTCTGAGGAAGGAGAATGAAGTCCAGATGCAGACCGCGCTGCGAGAATTGGACTCTGAAGGGCTCCAACTGCTCAAAGCGGGGAAGGCTCGGTGTGGGCGGACAATGTGGGCGGAAGGCATGCTGGTCCAAAGAAAGGTGACCAACAGAGGTTGAAGAACCCTATAGGCTATCCCAGTTCGGTGCCCTGGTAGGGTCTTATAAGGTCACTTAACCTCTGTTGGAAGGAACATATAGGAAAGTCGGGTAGAACCAGGAGACCCTTCTTGGCGTGCAAATGGGTGGCTACCGGGGTATCCATGATCCAGCCCACGTCTAAACACCAGCCCAAACGGGGTGTCTAGGTACATAGAGTTTGGACTATATTATGTGTCATATCAAAAGTATAAAACTATCCGTGGATATCCGTGTGAGTTCCGCCCAACATATGTGAACCTCCCTTAGATCAGTCCTACCCATCGACCGCGGGGGTTGTCAGCTCGAAAGGGTCAAAACCCTAGCTACCTAAACACCCCAAGGGGTGGTGTTCCCAAACAATTTGGGAGCTAATGAATGGACTTCCAGTAGCCACCAATCGACACCCCTTAGTGGTGGGGTGTGCTGCTATGAGGCGTGCTGAAACCGGCCACGCTGTTTCGCCGTGCTGTTTCGCCGTGCCTTCACCGGGTGCGGAGCTCCGCTGTTCTCCGCGCTCCGAGGTCCCAGAGCTCTCGCATCAGCTCTTCATGAAATCCGTGCCGTGCCGGGGGACGGGACCTTTGTGGACCTCTGGAGATGGCCTAACTCGCGGAGTTCTTCAAAGCAGAGGGAGAGAGAGAGAGAGAGAGAGAGTGGGGGAGAGACAGAGGGATTTGAGTCCGGCTTCCAAGCTTTGGGGGAAGTGCCTGGGGGTCGAAATAGACAAGAAACGAAGGGAAGGTGTGATTCGAGGCCTCTCAGGGAAGTGATTCGGAGTTCCCAGAAAGGTTGACCTTTGACCGAAGACAGTTGTTGTAGCTGGGTCCAGTGGGGGTAGAATTTGTTTTGTGGGAGGCTGTTTTAGACGGCGCTTTGTTTGATGGTTTTGCCTTCCGCACTCAGAATATTCTGGCCCATCGGCCTATCATGGCCTATCTAGATATTTGTAGTCAATTTGTAGGTATATATATATAGTTTGATGTCACCCCCTGCCACGCCCATGAGACATCATTGGTATGGCCTAGCTGGTGCCCTGGGGAGGTTTTTCCATGTACATACCAATCTCAACTGAACATACACCCCACAAATAGATGTGGGATACAGGAGAAATAGCGGCAATATGCGAGATTGCTTGAAATGATTTCGCAGTCACCATCAAAAAAGAGAGAGAGAGAGGGACGGGAAACATGATCTCCTTTCTTCGGGCTATGCTTCAACCGTTGTCATCTTAGGAGCCGCACCCAAACGCCAGACAAAGAGTGACACGGAATGTTGAAAAACCTCGAAAAAAGGTGAGGAGGGAAGTGATTTCGGACACACGAGAACGGCAGGTCTCCCAATTTGGACTGTTTGTGATTTCAGTATGCTCCACAAAAATGTTTATCGATGTTGCGGGGTCGGTCAACATTTATTTGGTTGATCCATGCAATTCATGTTAATCACAATTGGTTGGTTCGGGCACAAGTCATGATCAGCCGGCCAGGAGGACCCATGGGCGTCCTTGCCAACTGAGGCGCCAGACCTCATGCACCCCCGTGGCAAGTTGCAGACGGCTGGGCAAGATTTGTTGCAGAGGCTGCCTTTTCTTGAGTGCAACGGGGAGTTTTGTTATTGTTATTATTTGTTTTTTCGTCGACCGGATTGGGTTGTTTGCTACGCGGACCGCGCCTGTCGCACCTGCTGGCTCTCCGTGTGACTTTTTGTTTACTTCTTTGCTTCAAGGGTGTTCACTGTGCGGGGCTCCAGCAAAGATATGTCCAGGTGTAGCATTGTTCCGTCAATTCGACGGGAGGGTTCCCAGTTCCTGGCAGGAAGATCTCGAGGGAGCTCCCACAGAGAGTGGCTGCTGAGACGGCGACGCTCAGAAAGCAGCCGCTCGGGCAGAGAGAGAGAGAGAGAAGGCTGACAGACTATGGTCCGGTTTCGAATCCCTAGAAGAACCGACAGCTGGATGAGACTTCGACGCCTGTGGTACTTATACCGAGCCCCCCGAACCAACAAAAAAAGGGTATTGACCAAAGAGGTACATCATCCATGTGGAAACTCAGCACACCGGCCTCATTCCAGTCCGGTCCGTTTTGGAGACACGATCGATCCCGCGCCGGCGGACGACGAGTCCATGGCCTCCATGGACTCACATGCGATCCAGCAATGTTCAGCGGTAAAACCCGACATCCGACTCACGGACTTCCAGCGTTTAGCTGGTTTAAACGCGATCTCCGAATTCAACTATGGACCCCCTTATGAGTGCTGGATATGTTAGATGGTCATGCGGCTTCAGTGAGAACCCAAGCGTATCATGGAAGCGGCACCGTTCTTTGTTGCAACCCGGGACGAGTTGTGTGCCGTCCCACCTACGAACGGCCACCTTTACGTCCTTGACCCCTGCCACGGTGATCGAACGTCGCTTTTTCACCCCAGGATCGACGCCGAGATCCGCGAGCGCCGGCGCCTCTTCGCGGACCTCCGGCAGCGCGCCAAGACGGCGGCGAGCGCCGCCGTGGCGCGCTCGGCGCCGGGCCCGGTGCGCGGCGCCACGAGGCGCGGCACGTGGATGGGATGAGGCGGATGGGTGTGGAGGATAGCGGGATCACGGAGACACAAGCTCCAGAGTCAGCGTGTTGGGTGGTTTTTCTCTTCTCCTGCAGGATTCGAAGGGTTTCTTCCGAAGGTCATTCATCTTGGGATCATTTTGGTAAGTTTGGGACTTCGGATTTCTGGAATGCATGTCATGCATGTATATACACGTATATATACAATTGCCGGTCGGTTTTGCTGCTACTTGCCTGCTGCCACGCAGCCGAACCGCCAATCTCCCGCTCCAGGAACCTTAACAAGACCTTTCTATCAAAACATATGAATCAGAAGTTCGAGGTGGTCCTCTGGATGGTCCTTTGGGTGCCGTTGCCTCCACCCACCGCCCCCTTCTACTTCTACCCACCGCCGCTTCCCTCCGGTTTCGGCCCCCGCCTTTCCGCTGGTTACACGGTTTTTCGCAGCGAGAGGTTTCGGCCGCTGGAGCTCTCCCGGCCTCCCACGCGCGAGTTCCCCACGTGGCCGGTGACGAAGCGGGCTGTGGTGGGCCGCGTGGATGGCGGTGTGGGGGTGGGAAGGGGGTGGGAAGGGGGCACATGGGTTTAGAAGGTGAACTGAGTATAGAGAGAGAGAGAGATGGGACAAATCCAATAGACCACTTGCAAGCGCTTGACAATGACAGGTCTGACAAGTGTCCGCTTTGGAATCCCAATTGGCCTCGAAAGATTCGAACGGGGGGGGACCAAAACAGCCTCAGGGCCTCAGTGGTTTCAACCAACAGGAGGAACAGGTTGGAATTCAAAGAAGAAGAACAGTTCTGAAGAACAAGTTGCTTTGAATCCCAAGCACGACCTTTCCAGCGCCGGGGACGTCACTCGTCTCTCCACGTGAACGTGTGGAGTCCATGATGGACCGGAGCACCGGTGGGAACACACCGAGGCGTGGACCGGAGCGCTTCTGATTTGGCCACCTTCCGAATGCTCTGAGAAGAACCCGGTTTTTTGCCTGGTTTGAGCCGGTAGTTTGAACATGGGTGTGCCGGAACAACTGGCACATGGCAAGAAAAGCCTCTACTTTCTCATGAGTTGTCCATGAACACATGATGTCGCATGGGGCATGTGTCATCAGACACCATCACTACCATGTGTTTGATGGTCAGATGGAGTTGGTCACATCTGTTGCTCCGCCGCCTTGCAGTCGACCATCTCTCGGGGCGCTGGGTGTGTCAGGGACGCCCGTGCCCGCGCGGACTCCGACGGAGGTGGCGGGGGGGGGCTCCGGGCTCCGATGGGGAACGACGGCCATGGCGGAGTTGAGCTATGTGGGTTCCTGGGTTCCTAGGTTTGGGCGGTGCGCCAAGGCCGAGCAACAAGGAAGATCAAAGAAGGGTGCGCTTCAGATGGTTCCAGGGGTGTTTTGCTGACCAAGATGAACGAACCTATATAACGCCCCCAGGGGTTTGGTTGGGGCTTCACATAGATTTTTGTGGCCCTATAGAACCTCCCTTTCCTTCAAAGCATTTCTTTACAAAGGTCGTTCACCCAGATTTTGCCAGTGATGTATGCACATTACCCTTGGAGCAAAGCGCGGAAGCAGCACATAGCAGCACAGAAGTCTGCCTTAACTTATCTAGATGAATCACTGCATATTCTTGTGGCTAGCATGCCGCGAAATGCTGAGCTCCATCCGCCACACTGCTCATGAAGCAGACCTTCGTCGAAAGCAACCCACTCGCTCCGTGAAACAGCGGAGCCGGCAGCACTTTCCAATGAAAGAGCAGCTGGTGAGATGAACAAAATGACGCTTGGGCACTCGGACATAAGGGCTCCAAGTTCTGCAAGGGATACATATCACACACACACATACACACACGTGTCACGTATTTGTGTACTGCGTATATATATATATATATTTATAAATATGAGTGTATGATTACGTGCACACACACAAACACACACACACACACAGATATGTATATTATAATATATATATATTTTCTTTTTACACATACATCACAAAATGCACCCATCCTCATCCACACAAACACACAAACCATCAGAGAAGGATGTTCTTGCAGTTCCTGAGTGAGGCATTGGCCTGAAAAAGACCACTGGAGGGCGGTACTTGTGTCAGGTTCGTGGGTGACCTAAATCAGATAAATTGAATCACTGTGATTTGTGCCATCTAACAAACTGACTGGATGATGATGATGATGCGACTTGGGAAATTCACAAACCAGAGGTTTGAGAACCTTACGTATATATACACGGCGAGTGGACCAATACATGGTGATGTGGGAGAAGCCTGCTTCAACACATGTGCCGCCCAGTTCGGCGTGGATTCTAGACCCGGAGGGGAAGTTTACTGCCACTGGCCGCCTTCACACGACCGGACCGGCGAGGCGACGGTTGGGTCGAGTCCGACGGTTTGGCCTCCAGGGGCGCCAGTCCGACGGTCCAGCCACCGGCCGCACCGCGTCTCAGGACGGGCCTCTTGCGCTGATGTGAGCCGGACCGTGGCTTCGCGGGGTCGAATGCGGCGAGAAGCCGCCAGACGGAACGTGGACGCGACATCGTGAAGCAGTGGGAGCAGCAAAGAACCCTGGGTTTTGGATGTTCTTTTTTTTTGATTGTCTGATTCTTGATATTGTACCTGGTTTGGGTGTTGCCTTACTGATATGCTGAAGATTCTTCAGTCGGTTCGAAACTTGAAAAAACAGGCAACACAAACTGCCAGCAACCACTCACCTTGTGTGGCAGGAGCCCTTGTTCTTTTGCACATAACTCTTCTGCAGCTTTTTCATAAGGCTCAGTGCCAGAGACACGAGTCCCTTGGAGGCTGCGAGTCCCTGTAGAGTCATGTCCCAGTGGTTGCTTTGCCTCGCGGCTGCCGCCATGGCTCTGGTGGCGCGTTCGGATGCGTTCGTGCCAGCAGGCTTCCGTGGACAGGCTTTGCAACAACCAGGAGTGGCCAGCTCAGCCACTGTCCACGAGACCAAGACCTTGGGCGGTATGGCTGGCGTGGCCGCAGCTG